GAGGGGTATTTTAGATTGGATTTTAATTTGATTTTATATTGGGTGTTCACAAAATTTTAAATGAAACGGCAAAATTAATATTTCTTTTAATTATATTTTAAAATGGTGTTTGTAGGGTCTTTATCTGTTTTTAGCTTGCTGTAAGCCGCCCTGGGTCCGCCAGGAGAAGGGCGGGGTATAAATCTAATAAAATCACAAAATCACAATCACAAATCACTTCAACTCCCAGAATTCCCCAGCTGAAACCGGAACCAACATTTAACTCAGTTTCTCAAACCTGGAAACCTTAAGAGATGTGGACTTCAACTCCCAGAATTCCTCAGCAAGCATGCTGCCTGGGGAATTCTGGGAGTTGAAATCCGAACATATTCCTTAATCGCTTTCTAGACCCACCTTGCCCATTTTTGAGCCCCCTCGAGATGTCCTGGGGCAGGGGGTCCCCCTCAGCGCCCCAGACCCAGAAGAGGGGGAAGCTATGGGGATACGGGAGATCTTGCTCAGAGGACGGAACCCCAATTGGGGCGGGTGAGTGACACAAGAGGAGGATTGCCTTCGAACGGGTTCGGCTCGCCTACCTCTCTCGCACTGGGGTCCTGTGAATCCGTACACGCAGGCACAGCGGTTGGGCCCGATGCACCGGCCACCGTTTTGACACCCTCCTTCGCAGATAGCTGGGAGAGAAAGAGAGAGAGAGAGAGAGGCACAAATCAGGAGGTGTTCTTGGAACAAGGCTGGGAGTCCCAGGAAGATGGGCTTTGGGGTGCCTCTTCTGAATGTGTGTATGGGTGAAAAAGAATGGGGGGGTTGATCTCAGAGGAAAAGAGCTCACCTGATAGGGTTTCCTGCCTGAGCAGGAGGTTGGACTAGATGACCTCCAAAGTCCTTTCCAACATTATTGTTGTTGTTGTTGTTGTTGTTGTTGTTGTTGTTGTTGTTGTTGTTGTTAATATTAATATTAATATTTATTAATATTAATATTAATATTAATAAAGTTGGAAGGGACCTTGGAGGTCATCTGGTCCAACCCCCTGCTCAGGCAGGAAACCCTATCCCATTTCGGACAAAGGGCTGTCCAGTCTCTTCTTAAAAACTTCCAGTGTTGGAGTATTCACAACTTCTGGAGGCAGGTGGTTCCACTGGTTAATTGTTCTCACTGTCAGGAAGTTTCTCCTTAGTTCTAGGTTGCTTCTCTCCTTGATGAGTTTCCATCCGTTGCTTCTTGTCCTGCCTTCAGGCGCTTTGGAGAATAGCTTGACTCCCTCTTCTTTGGGGCAGCCCCTGAGATATTGGAGCACTGCTATCATGTCCCCCCTCGTCCTTCTCTTCGTCAAACTAGAAAGACCCAATTCCAGCAACCGTTCCTTATATGTTTTAGCCTCCAGTCCCCTGATCATCTTTGTTGCTCTTCTCTGCACTCTTTCTAGAGTCTCAGCATCTTTTTTACATCGTGGTGACCAAAACTGGATGCAGTATTCCAAGTGTGGCCTTACTAAGGCCTTGTAAAGTGGTATTAATACTTCACGTAGACAAGAAGCAACAGATGGAAACTAATCAAGGGGAGAAGCAACCTAGAATTAAGGAGAAATTTTCTGACAGTGAGGACAATTAACCAGTGGAACAGCTTGCCACCAGAAGCTGTGGGTGCTCCAACACTGGAAGTTTTTAAGTTTTTAAGAAGAGACTGGACAGCCATTTGTCTGAAAGGGTTTAGGGTCTCCTGCTTGAGCAAGGGGGTCAGACTAGAGGACCTTCAAGGTCCCTTCCAACTCTGTCATTCTGTTTATTATGGATCAAGTAAATCCAGAAATGACTTTGGGTTTTAATCCCTGCTCAGCTTTCAAATTTTCTGGGTTGAGCAGTGCTTCTCGACCTTGGGAAATTTAAGACAGGTGGACTTCCAACTCCTAAGGTTCCCCAGCTTAAACCTGAACCAGCATTAAACTCAGTTTTTCCTCAAATTTGGCCAAGTTAACACCTTGGGACTTCATCTCCCAGAATTCCCCTGTCTTAAAGTGGCCAAGATTGAGAAACATTGAGGTAGAGTGATTTTGGGAAATAGTCACACCCAAACTTCCCAGTAAGGTGAAAATAAAATGGTTATGGGGGTGGGAGGGGGTGGGGGGTGTACAGGTAGACCTCAACTTACAACAGTTTGTTTAGTGACCATTTGAAGTTCCAACAGCATTGAAAACCGTGACTTATGACCATTTTTTCACTGTTGCAGCCTCCCTGTGGTCACATCACTAAAATGTAGACGCTCGGCAAACGACTCACATTTATGACGGTCGCAGAGTACCCCGGGGTCAGGTGATCTGCTTTTGGCGACCTCCTGTCAATCAAAGTCCATGGGGAAGCCAGATTCGCTTAACGACCACATTACTAGCTTAACAACTGCGGGGATTCGCTTAGCCACAGTCTCACTTAACAACAGAAATGTTGGGCTCCATTAAGTCGGGGATGAGCTGTATGTACGACTGAAAAAGCTTTGGAAGAAGAAGACGCAAAGAAGAGAAGAATGGAATTTTTCTATCCTGAAGAACTGAAGAAGGAGGGATGCTAATGTCCCCTTAAGCCAGGGGTCTTCAAACTTGGCCCTTTTATGACCGGTGGACTTCAACTCCCAGAATTCCTCAGCCAGCATGGGGGAACCATGGCCCCCTTCATGACTCGTGGACTTCAACTCCCAGAATTCCTCAGCCAGCATGGGGGAACCATGGCCCCCTTCATGACTCGTGGACTTCAACTCCCAGAATTCCTCAGCCAGCATGGGGGAACCATGGCCCTTTTAGGACTTGTGGACTTCAACTCCCA